CACGGCCGCAGCCGTGAGCGGTTCCCGAGCCCGCGGATGAAAACGACGCGTGCTGCTGATCGGTATGATGGATTTTCATTTCAAAGCCAGTTTACACGTTCCACGGTACTCAGTAACAGGCAGAAGACAGACTCACATTAAACATCGTCCAGAATACTGTCAAGGTTGTCACTTTAAGTGCTTGATAAGAAACTTGGAATAAACACAGATTTCTCACTGGAGTTCCTTTAACACGGATGAAAACGACGCGTGCTGCTGATCGGTATGATGGATTTTCATTTCAAAGCCAGTTTACACGTTCCACGGTACTCAGTAACAGGCAGAAGACAGACTCACATTAAACATCGTCCAGAATACTGTCAAGGTTGTCACTTTAAGTGCTTGATAAGAAACTTGGAATAAACACAGATTTCTCACTGGAGTTCCTTTAACAATTTCTGGCTATACAACAGTAGTACTCTACATTTATATTGCAACTTTGGTACAAAAAGAGTTCTAAATGTCGATGATGATGGTGATGGGAAGGATAATTGCCCATTTTACAGGCGGGTAGAAGAGATTCAGTAGCTATCCTAAAAGCACACCTCAAGTCTGTGGTAGCAAGAGGGGTTTAGGGGGGGAAAAAATGACCGGTAGAGCCATCCTAACTATAAATACAGAAAAAGACGTATCTGTTGTATGTGATGCACTGGGCTGGTTTACTTAAGTTGCTGTATCTAACACCGTATGAGACTGAAGTAGTTAACCTTCCTTCACAGCATGTTTCACGATGTGGTCCAGCCGACTTGATGCTTAGCTAACTGGGGAGGATGGTTCCCGCATGTTGTATCACCCCAGGTGAAAAGAACCTTGCCAATTATCTGAGATGCAGTTTCCAGCGTTGCTGGTAAAATTAAACCTCCCACCAACAGACTTAGGTGTGCATGGATGGGAGAACTGGATCTATGGTGTAAATGATACGAGGTCTACCTGTTGAGATAAAAGCAGTGTATTTTCAGTCTGAATTAGTATTTGGAGTCTAGGTTCTCTTCCCGGCTCTATCACAGGTTACCTGTGCAGCGGTAGCGAAGTCGTCATGCCATGGGAATGGTGCTCCGTCACATCCCTGAAGAGTTTCAGGATCTACCCTGCTGAGATTGCCAGAGATCATAAATTTTATGAAAATAATTTTCAAAATTTAAAAGCAGCTGTTTAAGCAAGCTGGAAGCGGTAAGCAGGACGTGGAATACCAGCTGTGGCATGTGGCTATTGTCCCGGTGTAAGAGACCAAAAAGGAAGTTAAGTTGGAAAATACATTGGATGTCATGATGCTTTCATAACTACTTCTGCTGCTTTGTGAGTCATCAGTACACGCATACATGCACCCCCTTTCCCCCTACCTCCCCCCAAAACATGCACGTTTAATTTACAGGCCTGTCAGTAGTGAAGGATGTGGGATGAACACGTAGGGGAGACAACACAGAATGCTTCACAAGAGGGCAAGAGCTACGTTCCTTAAAAAGCGAGATTGTACGTTTGATGTGGAAGATACAGGCAAATCCTTCACATGGGGATTTTTCGTAGATACCCTTTAGAACCTGGCATCAACCTGTGCTGTCTCTGTTCAAAAACTGGCTCAGAAGACCTTCTGTAAAGCTGTGTGGATGAAGAACTGCAAAAAGCATTACTGCCTTTGTGAGCAGAAAGAATTCAAGGGTTAGATTTGTTCCATAGAGAGAGGGTTGACGTTACAATGCACGTGCCAAATTAGCATCTCCCTCCCTCCATGTTGGGATGTTTTGGATCCAAAACTTCACGCAGGCAAAAATGAAGATCGTTAGTTGTGCTATACTAATAGGCATATAGGTCAGCATCAGCTGGAGCTCAGGGTTATCTGTATCCCGCTTTAAAATCAGACTGCTCTCCAAGAGAGCCAGGATGTGATCTGTCGTTCTCACTAAGCTGATTTAATGGGGAGCGGTGACCAAAAGGAGAGGGGGGTGCAGGGGTAGCGGCTCCTCCCTGGGGTCCTCACATGCTCCCCTGCAGCAGAACTGGTGGAGCTCTAACCCTGCGCTAAGCCAGTTCGGAGATCCATCTGGTCAAACACACGCAAAGGATCAAATCCCTCCCGAGTTACCTGTTTGCTGTCTGCGCAGCTCCTCGAGCCAGCTCGCCACAGGGCCCGCTCGGCACCACCGCCGGCGCTAGAGCCACGAGAGAGTGGGGAGAGCTGCCAGCCGTGCAGCGGGAGCACGCGAGGGAGGGACTGCCCCATTGCAGTAGCTAGACAACAGACGGGCTTAATGCCATCAAAACGCAGCATTCTCAAGCTGCTGTACGGAATACGTATGTAGCATGTCTGCAAGAACGGAACTGTGGCAAGAAACGCTAAACAGGCAAAGCCTGGATTTTAGGATTTAGCACAAGTACTTACGCTGAAGCATCTTCCGTGTCCTAAATCAGATTCTGTCAGATCAACGCTGGGGATTTTTCAAGACGGCACCACCCAAGACAGTGCTGGTGCCCCATGTGGTGACTGCAATCTGGTCTTAATGACGAGGAGGCTCTGCATTTTTAAGAGCATAAAAATAAAACCTTACTGAGTCAGACCAGCTTTTGTATAGTCCTGTAACCTCTCTCCAGCAGCTGAATTAATGCCCATTATCAGTAAAACCCACCCAATCCACAAACCCTTGGTCAGAGGTTATAAGGACTTTCAAAAATAGATCTCACATGGAAGGAGCTAAGCTTGAATCACTGTTTTGGTGGGCTCTGGTTTACACAATTAACACAAGTTCATATGAAACGCACCACAGGGGCTGAGTAACTCAAATTCTAAGCAGGTTCTGCCCAGAACTGGCTATACTGGTGAGTGTCAGAGCGTGAACAAAGGGAACGAAGAGACTCGGGGTGCCGCTGCTTGTGCTGAAAGTGGGTCTGTGAAGAGGAAGGTCTTGCAGCACCTTTGGGCGGCACCCAAGTGAAGTATAAAACTAAAAACATTGTTCTCCTGAAATCTAAAGTCTCTGCTGATCTCTGTCTAGCTGAAGGATGTATAGTCCTAACTGACTTCGCCAATTTCCACTGAATAGGAAGGGTATTTGCGGCGGGTCTTCCATCGATAAGTGTGGAAATATCAAAGTCTCGTTCTTGAACGAGACACCACATTTTGTAACTGCGGCTCTGACTGTACCAGGGATTATAACATAAACGCGACAGTCGCTGCAGGTAGAATTGTTTGCTCGCTGCTGTACTGTTCGGCAGAGGGCGGCTTCTTCAGACCCAGCCATATCGATGACGTCTATATGCGTGTCTCTCTTCTTGATATTAAGCAGAGACCTAGGGGGCATGTAGGTGTGAGCAAAGAGTAGTGTGTAGTGTCTTGGGTGGTTTGAGGACTCTGGAGAATGCACGAGTTGCTCCAAGTGAAACAAGCAGGGTATCAGTCCTCCCTGGTGTAAGCACCCGAACAGCAGAGCCCCGAGAACATTGAAAATAATAATGACGTGTTTCCATTTCACAGCTCTATTCTGTGACGTGCTGAACAGGACTAACGGCAAGATGAGAGGGATGAGAAACCGTGGTTCCTGGTGACTGAATAGGGAGAGAAATGCCAAAGGAACAAAATAAAACAGCAGTAATGTTGGATTGCCCTCAGAACGCACCAATAGCCCAGATGACCCAGGGCAGTATGATTTGACCCGTATTAATTGGCAGATATATTTCTTTAACATTCTAAAGCCAGCACCGATGGCCAGAAGATGCAAGATCCCAAAGAGCATTAGTCCGTTGACTGTAAAATGTGTAACTCGTGGGTGACTTCCATGCAGTGCAAGGTTATGAGGATTG